ACGTTTTCTAAATTATAGGTTAACACCCATGAATCATAAAAACCCCTTTCTCAGCTGTGCAAAGTACAAAGTGTTTGTTTAGATAGCAGAAACTTTCTCCAGTACAATATACCTGGCATTGTACAAAACAAGGTTTGCTAGGACAGTTCGCTTGTGGCTTTCAGTCATAGGAAATGCACACACACGTGCACGCACACACACAGAGGCACATACACTCCCCCCCCCCCAATGCTTACTGTCCTTTGAATGCTGTTCATCAATAGAACACAGTAGGAATTAATTCTTTTCCATATGCTCCATGGATGTCACCGAGGTCATTTTCTGGAGTCCTTGGCTTGTCTTTGTGTTGCGTTCCCTATTTCTGCCCTGGGAAGCTGCTCCAAACTAACATGGCGAACAGGAACCGTGGGCTAGAAACAAATGCTTTCAGAGCACCAAAGGTTCAAAGAAATGCTTTCGGCCTCAAATGGAGTATGACTGATTGGTTCTTTAAATATTTAATGCGGAACAAAAACAAAATGCATGTGAGATATACATTTGTGCGTCCTGGTAGCCAAACACTGTTGAAGTAGTAAATTCAGGACAGCTCTTTGCAAATCGGCAATGGTGTGATGTTTTTTTCCTAGTGGAGTCCCTAGATTAACACATGCACCCAGAGATATGCTGCAGCATTTGCTGAAGACTCGGGTATAATGTTCTGCCAAAGACTGATCATCCCCCCCCCCCCCCCCCCCGGGGGATAAATGCAGCTTTAGCCGCTAGCTGAGCACAGTGTACAAGAACCAAGCGTCTTGGCTGTTATATATTCTGAACACAGCAAAGAAACCAATTCTAGATAAGAGCTGGCCTCCAGTTTATCAAATAAAGACCTATTTTAGGAGAGTGCCAGGGCTTGTGTGCCTAATAGATTTGTGACTTTCCCTCCACTTTAAGTGACAGATTCTCATGCCACATCATAAATTGCTTCTCAGACCTTCCTCAGTGGCTTCTCATACAGTGTGGGCTAGCCGTGGCTCCGGCCAAGGAAAAACGAGCTTGATGCTCCTTGAAATGGCTGAAATGAGTTACTTGGTTCTCTGGATCGGTCGTACACTCCCTTTTAATCAGATATCTTTGCGTAAACTCCTTTTAAGCAATGCAAGTGACAGATCAGTGGTTATTTACCACCACAGCAAACATTTTCCACTTTTGGTCCACTACAGATGGCTGTCTACAATATATACAGGAAGTGGAAGTTGTTTGGGCCTCTAAAAATTGTATGAAGTGAAGTATAAAATTGTGGTGTTTTAAAACCAGTGTTTACTTGCCATCTGAACATTTCCTTCTTTTATTTGGTCCAATAAACCAGATGCAAAAAAGTGAAAAAAGTGAAGCACAGTATTGGTTTGGACTCCTTCCTCTGCATGCCCCAAACCTTCTCCAGAAGACGGAAGGTGTGTGTGTGCTCTCCATCCTGCCAGGTTTTCAGAAGAAGGGAAGTCACGCCTTCACAGAAGACTCACATTTTTGCCATGAGAGTGAAAAGTCAAAGTTGCTTTTCTTGCTAATTTCCTGCTCGTCTGAGCATGCTGTAGTCAAAAGTATACAATGCATGCTAACATGTGTAAGTGTTCTCCAGAGCATCATCCCCCCCCAAAAAAAACAACCAAATTCACTTCAAGGTGGACTTTAGAAAAAAACAGCACTGGGAAAGGAGGGGGACACTTATGCCTAGTTCTCCTCTTCAAAATGCATGGGGGAAACACAGCTGAAATTATGTGGGGAGAAAGCCACTGGAGATACAATATCAACTCTGAATCCCTCCTTCCTTAACTTTCTTCGCTTTTTTTAAAAAATGAAAGGACCAGAAAGGACACGTATTGGTGCTTAGTACAAAAGTATCAGCGTTTAGTATGTAGTTCGTCCATACATGCTTCAAAGTTTGATGAGAAGTTAAGCATGGATTTAAATCTCTTCCACAGAAAAGACAGGTAAGACTTAAAAGATTCTGGCTTGGTGGCCTTTTTAAAATGCTGGGCAGATACAAAGATGAATACTGGAAGAGGCGATATTGCTGTCTGCCCGGAGTCTGCAGCCCAATGTGACACTTCCCAGGCATGCCATGGTATGGCTAGCTCTGGCCTAGCAGAAGCCCCCCCACAGGTTCTACTTTAGCGGAAGAAAGGATGGGCAGACGGATGCCAAACTCTCCAGTCAGTGGAATCATGTGCTGTGGTAACCACTCATTTCAAGAGGTGAAAGTCTGCAGTGCTCAAACGGTGGCAGAAGAATTGTTAAGTGGGATCCACAGAGAACAACATTTGCACATACAACTGAAGATGTTACCCTGATACTGAGGCATGAGCCAGATTGTATTGTATTCTTGCATCAGCTTTTTAATTTTTTTTTAAAAATTTTGACAAAATTCAGATATTTTTTGCATCTTTTCAGGTGTTGCTACTAACTGAGTGCTTCCTAACAGCATATGGCCCAATCCTAAACATTTTCACAAGTATCTGTTCTCAATGCTGGTGTCAAATCCGTTTATGTTTCTTTGCTGGCACCAAAATGCACTTGAGCTGTCCAAAGAGCTGCTTGTTGTTTCAGCAGCTCTTAGGACCAGGTCACATGGGAAACAAGAGGGCCCCAAATAATGACCTCGCATTTTGAAGGAGAGATGACAGATGGTATTTATGGTATCCGTTTGTAACATATGACAAGACTGCTGCACCAAAGTCATGCAGTTCAATCAAACAAGATATGTTTTAAGTGATGTCCCGAATATACACTACCTGAAAGAGCACACGCATGGCTAGAAATGTATATTATTCCACCTCTTAATAAAAATGGTAGTGGATGTCACCAGGTGACATTACAGGTTTATTTTCTTGCTTCCTGTTTATTGCACCTTTAAGCTCTTGGTTGCTGGAAAATTCTATTGCCTGAAATGTTTTATCATGTACCTTGATCTGGGGTTAGAAAACCAAACAGTATTCAGAACTATACATTTTTTTACAGTAACAAATCACAATTTGATAGTGGTAAATACAGCCACCTTCTCTCAACCATTAAGACAGGCAGAGAGAGAGAGAGAGAGAGAGAGAGAGAGAGATTCAATGTTCTGTGCTTTAAGAAACCTGCAGTGTTCTTTTTATTGCCATGTAGAAGTCAATTAAAATGAATCCTCCTGGAAAAGCTCCCAAATCTCCAATAATTATCACTGTCTAGACAGAGTACTGTGCTTTGAAGAGGCTTCCAACACAATATGTTTGAGTGTGAGGGACAGGCCATTGTATTTAGCAGTGTCCCATAAGGGTTTTCCTCCCCCTATCTGGTTGCGTGTAACAAGAAAGTAAAAAGCTTTCGTCTTCAGGAATCTGACATTAGCTACAGTAAATGATACAATATAAGTATAGTAGCATCGTTTAGTATGGCAAAGTAATATGCAAGCATAAGAGTTCATTACATAAAAGAGAATGGACTCATTTCAAATATGTCTCCTGTGTGCAAAAATGTCTTTTGGTCATGGCTGTTTCACATGTCATTTTGCACAAAAAATGCAAAACTAAATCCAAAGATGATGTTGCATGAGCAGAATAATGAAAACTGTTATTACAGCACTGGGTGAATTCTTGCACATTGTTCTTTTGCTCATGTTCTTGTGCAAGAGGTTAGGGAATGGTGAGGTATGCTCTTTTTCCTCACAGTTCTTTGGATCCCTCTAAATAACACACACGAGTTTTGTAGGTGTTGCTTTTTGGGACTTGTGTAGCCACAACTACTGTTGACTAGACTCTGGGGATTCTCTTGCACATATGCATCAGATGTTTTCTTTATGCAACCAGCTTCTGTGAGGAAGTATTCCTTCATCATGTAGAAGCCAGTTGTCTGCACATAGCTTGCACAAAGTCTCATACAACCATAAGCACGAGCCACATAAGTCCTGTCTGCATATTGGTCAAGGTATGACACCATTTTCATAATCCATATACCAAGGGCAAACACTTTTGCACGTTTGATAAAGGTAATAACAGTTATCTGTGGTATATTAAATCATGTTACCTGCTTTTAAAATTAGTAATGCCATATATATGTAGAGATTCCCTTATCTGCATGGAATATGCACTGCATAATGCTCCTTGCATTTAGAAGAGTACATTTAAAAAACCATCCTATCCGAAATATTGATATAAAAAGGAACAATTAAAATTTAAATGCTACATGCAGACAAGGGGGGGGGGAAGGACCTCTTCACTAATGAAAACGTCACACAGACTTTTAGTTGTGGAAGTCCAGCATACCATATTGGTGGCTTTCCATAATAAATCTCTGATCACAGATGGACTGAACAGCTAGGTTCATGCCACCACTGGACCACACGGCCGTCCTTACATGGTGACAAGATGGTCATGTGACCCTTTGCCACCAATGGAATCAACTTTCAGAATGTGTTAGGAACCACTGTGGGAAAATGTAGTTCTCCACAATGGAAGTGGAATCTCAGGCAAGCCTGCAAGATACATCCCCCCCCCCCAGGCTGGGAGCCAGCAGGCTCTTCCTTTGCGATGGGCACTAGGCGTCAAGATGATTGTACGGGAAGATGCTGATGTGTTCTTACACATAACACACTTTTGATGTATCTAAAACGGCATGCTAGCAATGTTTTGGACTTTTAATTCTGTCTAGCTGGACAGTGTGTGAATTTAGTTGGGTTCTGTTTCCTCTGCACAGGTCCTTATTCCCACCCTGGAAAACAAATTAGTTCCAGAATTTTGTTGCCCCGCCCTGTGACTCAATCCCTCTTGCATAGGCCAGTAATAAGAACACTGCATCTCGGACAAATAAATTACTGCGATATAACAAGTTTCTTAATTTTTTCTTTTTAAAACATATTTTCTCTATAATTTACACGAAGTACAGCGATGGCTGGGTTTGCGTTGTGGATGCCACCCAAACGCATGTCCTCTCGGCCTTTGATTCCAAATAGAAGGCACTGCTCAGACATACTGCAGTATGGACAGCACAGCAAGAGACCCCATCCCTGGGCCTGAATATCAAAGAGCTGGGGCGGGGGAGGTCTTTGGGAACAATAATTACAATTATTGTTATGGCAGTAGATATTAGGAAAGTGTCTCCTTGCTGTTGCTTTTTGTGCTATGGAATTTCCTCTAAAAGGTCTCTCCAGTCCAGAGAGTGCAGAGTGCCGGCCCTCAAAAGCTCTCCACAAAGCTTCCCGGGAAGAGGCCCGACCTGCCATTCCGTTGTAATGTCCCTTTGTACCAGCCGTCTTCTCTTTTCTTGTGGACAAACACAATGTCGCCTTCTTTCAGTTCGATCTCTGCTTCGCTTTGAGGTGGATACGGAACCACGACGCGGTACCTTGAAAGACAAAGGGAAAGGTCTCACTGCAGAGGACTGCGGACTGGGCTATACGCACCACTCTATACCATGACGGCAACTTTGGCGTGGTCAGAGATCCACAGTGGTGACTCCCGGAAACAGCCACATGACATTATACGGGAAGTCTCCCATGCAAGTATATCAGACAGCTTTCTTTTTCCGTGTGTTTTGCTGTAGGTTTAAATAAAAGCTACCCCTTCTCAGATAATGGCTTTTAAAATTCATTTTTTTAGAAATCTCGGGATCTCCTAGTAGTTTCTCAACTGGGCACTGATCTGGACATGTGTATTAAGGACTGCCTGCTTCTGCATGATCTTTACTGGCCCCTTCAGAGGACTTCTGCTGTGTTCTCCCATCATCTAGAGCAGAGGTGTCGAACTCATTTGTCATGAGGGCCGGATCTGACAAAAATGTCACTTTGTTGGGCCGGGCCACGTGTGCCAGGTACCAGAGATATAATGTAACGTAATGCTAGGTGTCAGAGATATAAACTGTATAAAGCAGGGGTGTTGAACTCATTTGTTATGAGGGCCGGATCTGACATAAATGAGACCTTGTTGGGCCGGGCCATGTGTGTCATAAAATGTAATGCCAGGTAGCGGAGATATAAACTTCATAAAGGGCACAAACATAAGGGGTTTTTAAACTTATAATAAAAACATGCTTAAAACATTAGCACTCTTGCAATATTTTGTTTAACAGTGTCTGATAAATGACACCTCTTGCTCTGAATTATTGCATCAAAATGTCTGTGCTGTTGCAATCTTGAGTATGGTGTTCAGGTGTGTATCTGTAAGCTGCAAATCTACGATGACGCAGCAGCAGCAGAACCGGAAGAAGAAGCAGAAGACAGCCAGTTCCACTGCAGGCCTGATAGAAGCCCTCCAGGGGCATCATCCGGCCCCTGGGCCGCATGTTTGACACCCCTGGTATAAAGGACCAAGTTGTGGTAAGCTCCAAGTTGTTGTATCTTCACTGCAAGGCCCCATGGACTGGGAGGGGGGTGCAGAGGGAAACCCATATGGACAGACTGGAGAGCCAGCAATGCAGCACTGGGCAGATGCTCCCACTCTGCTTGACTGCTACAGACAAGGTTGTTCCACCATGCTGAAGGCACTATTGAAGTGGCTCTGCCCACTTCCCCCGCCCCAGCAGTCTTCTGTTCCCTCCCTTGAACTAGTTGCTCATGGGCTGCATAAGAGCCCTGGATGGGCTGGTTCTGGCCCCTGGGCTTTATATTTGACACCCTTGATCTAGAGTATAAGGGATACTGTGTGTATGTATGTGTGTGTGTATGTGTGTATATATACATATATGAAAATACCTTTTCTGGAGAATCACCAAGATTGGCCAAATCCTCCTTTGCCCTCTCATGGTTGGCTTCCCAGTGCAACAAAACTGTTTTGTTTCACAGGTTCTCTGATGTGTGGTGGTGCTAACAGTGAATTGGGAGTCTGTTTTATTTGCAGTCTGGAGACTGTTGCACATACCTTTTAATATTTTTTTCAAAAGACTGCCGTGTTTTCTATGATGATATAAATTTGCTGTAAATTGCTCTACGGATCCCACTGGATGGAATGGTCGGGTATAAATGGCTTTAAATAAATACCTACTTAAATAAAATGCTCACTGGCTACAACATTGTCGCGCGCCATGTTGCTTATAAGCACGTTTGGCTTTGCAGTTCCGAGCGGTGCTCTAAACTACCTGACGAAAATCTTCTTATCTTGACAAGATAACAGAGCCATGTAGATTATGTATCAGTGCTCACCAGCCATCCAGAATCAATTGGTCACCTTTCCTCTTAGCCATTAAATCTAGCTGTCACTTCTTCTATGTGTATGAGAGCAAATAATAAAGGGTTGAAATGTGAGCTGCAGAGAAAACAGCCTATCACACTGTCATGGGCAGAGACGCTACACTTGCTTTAGGGAGCGCTGCCAATTTCAGCCATTATGCAAATGAATGCTCGCATTATTTTAGACATGCTGCTCCAATGCTGACTAATTATGTTATTAGATTAGAGCACTTTCCCAACTTAAATTGTGTCAGATCTCAGATCTTCCCACTGTATACTGATGTGTGTAATGAAATGTACAAAACAGGTGTAAGTGTATTGGACCACACTATGGTGGCAAAAGAATACTCAAACTTTCACATGACTGAAAACACTCGTGAGTTACATGTATACACGCCAGTTTGGTGTAGTGGTTAAGTGTGCGGACTCTAATCTGGGAGAACCGGGTTTGATTCCCCACTCCTCCACTTGCACCTGCTGATGTGACCTTGGGTCAGTCACAAGCTCTGGCACAGCTGTCCTTGAAAAAGAGCAGTTTGTGTCAGAGTTCTCTCAGCCCACCCACCTCACAGGGTGTCTGTTGTGGGGAGGGGAAGGGAAAGGAGTTATTAAGCCGCTCTGAGACTCCAAGTGAAGGGCGGGGTATAAATCCAATCTCTCCTCTCTTCCTCTTCTTGTGGAAAGTGCCGTCACATTGAAACCGACCTGTAGGGTTTTCTAGGCAAGAGATGCTCAGAGGTGGTTTGCCATTGCCTGCCTCTGTGTAGCAGCCCTGGAATTCCTTGGTGGTCTCCCATCCAAAATACTGCCCAGGGCCAACCCTGCTTAGCTTCCACGAACTGACGAGATCCTGCTAGGCTAGGACATCCAAGTCAGAGCATGTGTATTCTACGTGGTTATTCTATCGGGAAAACAGTTCTGGCTTGGATCCTAAGCCTTCTTTCTGCTTATGCCTCTCTTTAACCATTGGGGAGGCGGTCCTTCTCAGCTCGTACCGCTCTTTTGTCCGCAGAAGCACCTAAGGCCAGAGTAGTGTGCTCTGCAGTGGAGGGCTGCCTTTGCCATGGGAAAGGACACCGTGCAAGGGGAAACGAGGTACAGGATCTGAGCTCGGTTCAGGTTCTCAAGCTGCCTAGAAAGCACTAACAGAAAATCTGATCATTTCAGCTGATTAGCTTCATGTGCTCCGTCTTTATTTAGGGTATCAAAAACCCAGTAAGAATCTGATCTAGACCAGCATGCTTTAATTAACTAATCAGTGAGATTAATGCATTTAATTGTAGATTAAAAATTTGCACCCATTAACCGAGTAATTAAATTATGGAAATTCATTGCCAGCGGATGCAGCAATGGCCACAAGCATAACTGGCTTTAACAGGGGATTAGATTATTGGAGAATAGATTCATCAATGGCAGCTAGCTACAGAGAAAGGAAGTAACCCTTTGGGTACGAGTGCTAGGCCTTGGTACCATGTTTGTTGACTCTAGGATAAATGGTTGGCCATGATGTGAAATAGGACGTTGGACTAGATGGACCACTGGTCTGATCCATCAGGATCCCATAGGACACAGATGACAAGCAAAGACTTTAGACCTTTGGATGCTGCATGATACTTTGGTATTTCCTTCTTGCAATGAATTGTAAATTTTGCTTGTTTAAGGTGGCAATTGGTTTTCTTTAAATGTGAATTGCCTCCATTCCTGTGTCAAACAGATGTGGGATATGCAATTTAGTGGGCTGCAAGGGCATGCAAGTTGGGATTGCTGCATCTCCCTGCAATTTTTCCTTGCATCCCCCCCACCCCACCCCACCCCTGGGTACTGCTCACCTAGCTGGGCTCCTCTCTAGTGTGTTATAGTCCACCTGGGAGAAAAGTGCCTGGTGGGTTAAGCCTAACAGGGAAGGGGGATCTTAGCATTTGTCACCTGCACATTCCTTTGGCCTTTTAAATCCCACCCTTACCTCCTGCCTTTCATGTGCATGGGGAAGCCTGCATCAAGGTTGTGGAGCTGCAGCCATCAGCAAGAGCTCTGTACAGAGACCTATCATGCTGAAGAGTAACTGTCTCCTGCCGCCCAGGATTTTCCAAAGACCGCCTGTGGAGGACCACCGTCCACCCAAGAATTCCACCCCAGTGTTTCAATGACTGTGACTGCTGCAGAAGGATAGCTGCCAAAAAAGGGGGGGAAGCCAGTGTACAGTACAAGGAACAGCAAAGAACACACCACTGACTGAAAATAAATGCACAAGCAAAATAGCAAGTATATAATAATCATATAAGCATAACAGCAAGTATAATAAGAATCAATTGGCCAAGGTGCCATACCCCAGGACACCAATTCTATATGCATTACCTAAAATACATAAAAAAGGAAACCCACCCCCAGGACGTCCTATTATATCAGGGGTAGGATCTGTTTTTGAACCCATATCTCAGTATTTGGATCATATCCTACAGCCTCTAGTAATTAAGATAAAATCATATATTAAGGATACTACACATTTCATTCAACAGGTAGAGAATAGGCTATTTATGGCTCAGAAAATTTGATGACTTACACTTCAATTTGGACCCTGATATCTGTTGACACATGGAAAGACTGTAGACTGTGCTTCTATTATGCTTTATTATTGCACCTTGGCCAATTGATTCTTCTTATACTTGCTGTTATGGTTATATGATTATTATATACTTGCTATTTTGCTTGTGCATTTATTTTCAGTCAGCAGAAGGATAGCTGGCAGAAGGGAGGCGGGTGCTGGAGACAACGGCCGTCACACTTCCAGCACAGAGCATTCAAGCTCTTCGTTATTTAATGGCTTATTATCCCCATCCCCTTCTAGTGAGATACAAGTAGAGCCATAAAGCAGGGAAGGCAGAAGTTCTGGAACGAAGATTCTTTCTTTGGGATGGGGAGGTCATCCCAAAGGGGGAGGGACAGGAGGAGGAGAGGCTATAAAAACTCTGGACACGGGGAAGAGAGGGGCCTCTTCCATTTTTGGGCAGCTCTTTGGATGTATACAAGCCACGATGGACAAAGCTTTCGCCTGGAGACTCCATCTCGCCCATGAAGTAGGGGACAATGGAGAGGAAGCCCAACCCGGAGATCAAAGGTTATGGTGAACTTCAACTTACTGCAACTTCAAGTAAAACTTTCCTGTCTTAAAATTCAGCATCAT